GTCAAAATTCGACGAATTCATCCGCAAATTCAGTTCCAACTATATGCGCGCTGCCATCTATGGTGTGATGAGCATTATACAATGGATCAGCATCTGGCCCATGGCTACGAGCTTGATTGTCGCAGCCATCTTCCTGATGCTTGCTGCAGTCTTCTATGCGCTTGCCGGCATCAAGGGCCAGCAGTTCCAGGGCAGCAAGACGCTTGGTGGACAGGGCGTTGCACAGATGATCATCTAAAGAGGAGGCTCACATGGCGGGTACACGGTGAGAAATTGGATGGGAATGGGGTAGATGTGGACAATGATTGCGAATGTACAACCTGTTTTGGAATACACACAGGGACCGAGTGCGAAATGGATTCTGCCATAACAGCCGCGTCCTAGTGTCGGGCCACGATTGAATCTATTTGAATCACGGGTGAAAAGCTAGGCGTTATTGGGAGATATCCACCACAGGGATTGCCTGAAGCCGAGGGCGCATGACGACACTTAGAGGCACGAGAATGCGATATTATATTTTCATTTCTGTGGTGTACGTTTGACAGTCGAATATTGGTCATAAAGTACTACTAGTTAGCCCAAGGTGGGGGAACATACGTAACCGCACATGTGGAGACGGTGTAGGGCCTACTGGAAGGCCTGCAAAGTTCTAGAAGCTTGCATTCCTATCCACATACTGGGGGTGGTGACGCTGTTCCATCTTTTCATCCTATGTAAGCAGACCATGTTCTCTCACGGACAACACAGGATGGATGGCATGTGAAAGGATGCGCTGGGCTCAAAAGCAAAGAGATTACTGCCGTTGACCTAGACCTAGACTCTGCTGGTCCTTGTGCATGCCGATGAGTGGCTGCTAGGGATTTGCCAGGAACCACACTTTCTCGGCGCGGGGAACACTAGCGGCTTTTTCGTGCCGGGAGTCGCACACATCATTGAAGAGTCTGCAGTATGGCGCGCAGTTGATAAGAAACGTCCTCGTCCTGCAGAGTCCAGTCGCGCTGGCTTGACTGGACACTTCACAAGGCTAACGAGATAATTGTGGATAGCCTAAGTTTGCCAGGCTCGAAAGCCTCCACGTAGTTGTTGTTGAAGTCGCATAGTCCTCGATGCGGCATAGTGGCTGGGCGCCTCTGATGTTCATGTCCAACGCGATAGGCACAATGGATGGACAGAGTTTGGGGAAGTGGCATGTCCTTCTTCTTCTTCTTTTTTTTTGCCAACTCGATGCAATTTTCGGGAAGCACACGACAGAGCAAATAAAGCCAAGTCACCAAATGCGCATGCATACCGCGGGCGCTGGTGATGGTTGCCGCGTGCCAGACGCCAGACGCCAGGGCCCCATGCGCCATATCCAGGCATGATGCAAATGCGGGTCGCAGAGCTGTCTGCTACTTAAGTCCACCACCCCAGCTTCACCGCGCCAATCCACTCTGCGCCATCTGGCAACACCATACCGAACCATCCAATCTTCCTCTTTAGCCTCACTTTGAGTGTCGGGCCTAATTGCGTGTTGTGTGGTGAGTTTGCACTATAAAACCTCGCCCTGTCCCGCAGCATTCGGGCTCTCATTTGCACTGCCCCTCATTGGCTGGCTACAGCTCTGTGGAGCTGGCTGACCACTTCTCTACATTTGTCTGTTTCTTCACTGTAGTCAATGCCGCTCTCTGTCTGACACTCCACGTATCAAACAACCAGTCCGTGTCTTACCTGTCACTGACATTGATCTTCTCTCAGCCTTCCAAGACCCCCCGCAGCCTATCCAATATCTCTACCCCACATAGCCATCGAGCAACGGCTAAGCACACAATGACCGCTCAACCAACAATACCTCCACGCCCATCGCGCTCCCAGAACAGCCGTTCGCCGGCGCCGGGAAGTCATATGGAAGTTCCCAAGATCCCCCCTCGTCCGAACCGCGGTATGGACCGCTCCGTGTCTCCAAGCGGGGACAGATATGCCCCCTCCCCGCTCAACGATCCCACCTACGTACCTGGTGGTCCACCAAAAGATAACCATCGCCTCAGCACTGAGCTGCCCTCTCGCCCGCCCAGTGTCTCTATGCCCTCGCTCGGAGAGGAAGGCACCGAATACGCCAGTTTCGAGGACTTGTCCAAGACCCTCAATGAAGACAACCAGGGTGGCTCTCCTCAGCATACCAAGAATGTCGCAGGCGACTTGCCCTTGCATGCTCCGACTGCCTCAGTTCCGAGTTCCACTGCAAAAACAAGGATTCAGGCTGTGACGCGGACCGATTCGCAAACAGCAGCAGCCGCTGGCTTTGGCTCTCAACTGTCGGTTGATGACAAAGTTTCACAAGCCAAGTCTGGCCGTTCTGGCTCGTCAGCTGGTTCGCGCCCTAGCTCAATCTACAACGATCAGGATGAGCATGGTATTCCAGAGATTGGCGTACAGGTTCCCATGTTTCGCAATGCCGGAGATGTGCAAGCTCCAAGCCCGGCACCATTTGCGCAACAGCCCGGATCTCAAGGAGTTGGTTTCCATCAGAAACCCAGTGGTCGTCATCATGGACGTACAAAGAGTGGTCGCGAGATCTTCCATGGACCTCCTGGCAGCTATGGCATGCACGGCCATGGCAAGATATCAACAGACGAGTTTGAGCAAAAGTGGTACGAAAAACACCCGGATGATTTGAAGCGTGAGAAAGCGGGCGAGTATGGCCCTCACATTCAGGAAAACAGAAAAGATTACCACTGGGGCGCGGACAACCTGGAAAAACTTGTGCACACAAGGTCGCAAGACGTCGGAGTGGGTACGTTACTTGATCCTATCAGATGGATATGCATTTGGTATTAACCTTGTTGTGCAGGCACTAGCCGGGATGTCGTTGGAACTCCCGATGAGCAGATTGGTTACAGGGCCACCGAGGAATATGCTTCAAGGATGGCTTCTCCCAGACCGCAATCTTCTGGCGTGACTTCTTTGAACAAAGCTCGCCACGCCGACTCTCCGCTTCGCAACGAGGCCGGCCAAGAGGTAAATGACAAGGGAGAAGTCATTCATATTGACCCACCTACACACCGTTCTAGTAAGGTTCATGGTGGAGGTTACGACCCCCCAACTGCAGACCTTGGACCGCGAGGCGGTAACACTAATGCTGAGGGTGGATGGGTTACCGAGCGTGGATATGGTACACCTATCCTTGCTTCTGATGAGCTAAAGAAGCACCCAGATGCTGAGTGGAGGCAGCCTGCCGTGTCACCGGAGCTCGAGCGCCACGGCAATGAATACATTTCCGCTGAGGACGGCACGTCACAGTACATCACCAAGCAGCGCACCTCCAGTAGGAGCTCTAGTAGGAACAGGAGTACGCAACAGCAACGTGTGATTCCGAGCCCAGCCCAGTATGAACATAGCAGCACTCCGCTTGAGTCGCATAAAGAATATGAACCGCTCTTCCCAGAGGATGAAGATACCAAGAAGCCGAACTCAAAGGTTGACGAGGTCAAGCGTCCTAGTTATGCTCGCCACCACTTCCCAAGCCAAGATGTTTGGGAGGACACGCCTGGTAGTCTGCAACTCGAAACTACCGTTGATACTCCCCAGGAGCCCGAAGAGCCTCAAACCGCCGTCAGCAAGGGGGATATCAGCCCTGCCAAAGCATTTGAAAGCCCAGAGTTAGAGGAGCAACGCAAGCGTCATATCACTGAGGAAGATCAAAAATCATTCCTTTCTGACCATACGAAGCAATTCGCTGCCGAAAACAAGCTTCTTGGGAAAGTGCGAGACGAAACACCAGGCCGTCCCGGTATGCAGCAACGTTTCCCAAGTCAAGATATCTGGGAAGACGCGCCGTCACACGGATACCTCGAGACCACTGTCAGCACACCACAGATGGAGGAAACGAACGATTATGCCGAAGATTTCCCACAGGATCAGAAACCCTCCGCCCCCGCTCACCCTATCATCCCTGCCAGACCTGTCAGGAAGGAGTCACCTGCGGGGGGAACGAGGGTACCTATTGTCCCCGAACGCCCGAGAGGGCATGTTTCAGCACGCCTGACCAAGACGTCTACTGGCCCTTCAGAAAATGGTTCAAATGCGGAGTCACAAGCCAGCGAGAACGAAGCTTCGCCGCATAAGGCGAAATCGGTGCTGACTGGTCGTCCAGCTGGGGGCAAAATTGCTGCTCTCCAAGCCGGCTTCCTCAAAGACCTCAACAGCAAAATTGGTCTAGGTCCACAGGGTCCTCCTAAAGTTAAGGAACCTGAGCCGGAAGTGGAAGAAAAGGAGATAGCACCGCTGCAAGATGCTCGAAAGAGTAGGGCCAAGGGCCCACAGAGGCGGAAGCCTGCTTCTTCTCCAGCCCCAGGCAGTGCGGCTGCCGCAGCTGCTGTGCCAGCCCAGAAACTGAGCGTTGGCCCCGTGACTGCAATTTGGAGTTTTGTTGAAGACGGTAGCCTGGACGTCCCAGCTGCCAAGATGGCTGTGCAGATACAGAAATCGCTTGATGTTCCTGCACAGGCTGAAGAGCCCGTCGCCACCAAGGCTGCAGCGGACGAGAGTGCTGTACCAGAATCAGAAAAGCCGCAACTGGCCAAAACTTTGTCAAAGGACGAGCCTCAGCCTGCTTCTGCGACTGAGCCAAAGACTGAGACGAAGACTGAAAATACTTCTTTGTCCGAGCAAGTCTCCTCTGCGGCATCAGGTACTCTTGAATCATTCACGTCCAAGGTATCAGCTGCCTTGAAGCTAGAGGAGCCGGTGGCGACGGAGAAAGCACCTGGATCCGCTGACGCTCCTGGCGCCTTTCCTGGTTCAGGACCAGACGCAGTAGACGGAGCGAACGTCAAGAGTGCTGAATCTGACAGCAAGAAAGTAGATGAGCCAGTCGTTGGTAAGTCTACTGAGGAGGAGGCATGATGATCTGTCTTGTTTGTAAAAGAAGTAGGATGTGAAGGAATACACACGATCTTTTCCATTGTTGTCTCGAGTTAGATTTCAGTGTTAAGCAATCAAAGTCTGGATTACTTTTGTTGCAGCGAAGATTTCTTTTTGTTTTGTTCATTCATGCAGTGCTACGTGAGGAAATGAGAATTAACAACAACATGATGTATCATTCCGTTTGACTTGGGCGACATGCATGTCTCTCTTCTCTTGTAAAACATGCAAAAGGTATCGTTTCGGTACTCCATCTTCTCCATGAGTAAGTAACTAGAGTGCTTGATCTTGCCAGCTTGGAAACTCTTGATACGACACTGCTAGTCGCTCTGTCTACTGGAAGTATCTTCACTATCCCCCTCATCAGATGGATCTGATGCTTCATCCTTGTTCGCATCTAGCTCTTCAAGCATATCGGCTAGCAGCTCAAGCGACTTTTGCTGCAAAGGATGATCATCTGGCAGCGTGCGAGCTTCAATATTGATAATGTTCTTCAACAGCGCCACTGCCCTGTGCACCTGCCCAAGCCTATAGTATGCCATCGCAAGCATGTGATGACATTCTATTCGATCCGGATGCTCTAGCTCCAGCACCTTATCGCTCATGTTCACGGCATCTTTCAGGAGAAACATTGCTCTTTGTGTATGTCCATCCAATAAGTACAACATCCCAAGGTAATGCTGCGCCCTTATTCGTTCTGGATGTTCTAGCGGCAGCATCCTGTCCCTATCTCTCATAATCCTTTTTGCAAGTAACAACGCCTTGTGGATCTGGTCGTCGTTGAGGTATGCTGTTGAGAGCGCTCGTTGCAATGATAGCAGTTCATCGTTCTCTGGTGCTCGCGTCTTCTCCAATACTTCAATAACACCTTCTAGAAGAGTTACCGCCGTATGCGCCTGTCCGTCGATGATGTATGCTATTGCGAGACTTTCCTGCGATTCCAATAGGCTTGGTGTCTCTGAGGATGGAGTTTTCTCTCTTATCTTTACTATGTGTTCTAACAGTAGTATCGACTTTTGCGCCTGTCCATAGTGTGCATATACTGTCGCGAGATGATACTGTGAGATTAGGCGGTCAGGGTCATCCTCGCTAAGGTGATCTCTCTGCTGACATGACTTTTCCAGCCATGTCAACGCCTCCCGATACCTGCCGTCTTCTTTCACACACATCCCCATTCGTAGCCACAGCTCAGAGATTTCCTTTATATTTCCGTGCTGCGTGCCGTTAACCAACTGGAGCGCGTGCGGCAAGTACGCTCTCCAATCGACCCGGTTCTCGTACTCTGCGTCTGGAAAGACATGTGCAACATGCCGGATTGCATCCTCCGCTACCTTATTTGCATCGCCGTTCTTCTTGACCCAGATCCGTGTCGCTAGGTGCACAAGTCGGTGGATATCGTAATAATCGTCCCCTTCTGTCTCTGTATGCTCTTCACCCTCTTCTTGGATACCTTGATTGTCGCTATCACGTCTTACTAGAAAGGAGTATCCGCACAGCGTGCCAATTGCACTCTCCATCTCCTCTTCCGAATCTTTCTTTGGTAGCAAGGATCGGGGTACGGCCTTCCACTCTATACAGGATATAAACTCCAGCAAATCTGCCGCAAATGCGTCGCGCTCGCGCAGCTGGCTGAACGACACCACCCACGTGGTCGCCACTGCGTTCGCTGAGCCTTTGTATCGCGTGTTGTCACGAAACTCTCTGCTTAGTAGACCGATAAGGTCTTGTTCAGTATTGCGCAGTAATCGAAGATATTTTGCGATCGTCATGCGATTCATGTTCAGATACGCAGCCGCCTGCGCGATGGCCAGCGGTAGACGTGTTAGCTCTTCTAGTAGTTCGTCTCTCGCAGTGTGTTCACGGAGAAGCTCTTTCCTGATTAGCGACTCTGAGAAAAAATCGATCGCGTCCGGACGATCCATGGCCTCCAGCTTCAGCACGTCGTACTGTGTTAAAGATACCGCTACCTCCATCGTACGTGTTGTGTATAGGATTATACCTTTCTCGCTCTTTGGTAGATATTCAACGATGCCCTGTGACTCTGCTGTTTCAAACAAGATGCTAGGGTCGTCAGCATTATCCACTACCATCAACCATCGCCCTGCTCGACTCGAGCTCAATCTTTGCTTCACCAGCTCTTTGATGTCTTCCTTGTCGTCCGCCACCTGTGGTATACCCAAAATCTTTGCAATGCTCACACATGCTTGCTCAAAGGTCTCCCTACTCAGCACAGGCACCCAGAAGATTGAATACTCTGGCCATTTGTCTTTCACGCTGTAAGCAAATTGCAACGCCAACTGCGTCTTGCCTGACCCACCCAGCCCTGCAATAGACAGCTCCTGGCAGTCCTGATCTACCATTAGCCTTTTCTGCAAGCGATAAAGCTCGTTTTTACGTCCAACAAAGTGTCGGTTCACGAGAAAGGGTAGATGATAGTTAGGTTTGGGTGAGTTTCCTGCTGCTGCATCAGTGCGTTATTACAAGATGTGATATAAGACAGCTGCAGTAGCACTTACCATTCGTCTCCCTCACGACTGTTTCCACCATATTTGACTTGGACAGCTCTGCCGGTGGTACCGCCAACAAAACTTCCTTCGCATATGCGGCCGCAGTCCCCGCTGCGTACGGCTGCCACAGCTTGTTTTTGTGAGAGTCTGCGTAGTCGCAGATACCGCGTATAACAAGACACGGAAAACTATTCATTAGTCCTGCTGCTTCCATTTCAAAACACAGTACTGTGCCAAGCCCAGCGCTGACTCTGTCTCGTTCAGCAGCACTCCGTATCACTTGGTTGCCAGACGCGATAGTGCCGTAGTGTACTACTACTTCCTCCCCGACGGGGCGTGCCTGTCGGGCCTCCTGTCTGTCAGGGCTGCACCTATCGCACGTCTGCCCTGCAACATGGTCGTATGTTGCTTCAAAAAGAACATCAACCCCTGCGTTGCTCCGTTGAAACTTGGTCATGCCCTCTAGCTTGGAGATGTGCTCAGAGAGCTTGCTTTTACCACGCAGGTTATTAGCCTTTACGCGCGCGAGAGCTGCCAACAGCACCTCTGGTGGTGCATCCATCGATCCGGTTCGTTCAAAGCCGCCTGGTGTGGTTTTTCCCATGTCATACTGTACCACACCGGCAAGATTGCCGTGGGGCTGGCTGACAACAACGTCACCTAACCGGACGTCTGCTTCAGAACTCGGGACGCCGCCACCAATGCCAACCATCAACCTAAGCTGAATGTTTTTGAACGTTGCTTGCATTCGGGTTGCCACTACGGCTGCTGGGTTGTTGCCGATCCGGCCGGCTGGCAGACATACAATAGCGACGTTGTGACCACCGACAGAGCCTAGTGTGTACAGATTCTTGTCGTTATCAGATAGTAGTAGGTTGTGCTCCAGGCCAGCATGCTCCTCGTCAAGCATCTCCTGCGCCGCTGCCATCTCGATAGGCAGCGCACACACCCATCCTACTGTGTAGTCTTCGGGTCGCAGCTGGCGTGCCATGTGTTGTCATAGCAGAGGTAGAGACGAGAATAACGGTAGTACATCAAGGATGGTAGAGGTGAATTGTTGGTGCAACAGCAGAGCAGCTGCTCAGCCTGACGAGCTGCATAATGCTTGGCAGCCCGCATGCTGAAGTGGGCGGTTGGTTGCAGGTAAGTCAGGTGTGGGGGCAGAATGACAACACGTTCATTGGCCAGACGTGTACTACATACGGCACCTTACTCCTGCTACATTTAGACTAGACAACGTGCGTAGCCCCGAGTCCTCCAAGTATGTACGTACTTTCTCTGCTGTCTCTCACCGAACTGAAATGGCCAGACACCTTGGAGCAGGCGAAATTGCTGATCCTTCAGTGCTTTACATAAAGTGATTATTTGTGATGGTAGTTTGGTGTTGAGAGCTAATTCAGTTCCGCGAGACTCTGCATCTTTGTACACGGCTACAAGTACAAAGGACACATTTTTGGATTCTTGTTTTACTTTGTTACTGAATGCTACATCAAATTGGCCTCTTTGAAATCAGATTCTCTCCCCATAGGGCGCCCCCTCGAGCTTAAACCCACCCGGCTGCAGCTTCTGGAACACACCAGCCGGGTCGTACTTCTTAGAGACAGCCTTGAGCCTAGCCAGCTTCTCCTTGCCATAACTCGGAATAACATTTTGGTGTGGCCCAGCATAGTTCAGGTAAATGAAGTCATGGTACTTGCCCCGTCTCCTTGCTTCTGCCTTTGCTGCACTCAGAAAATTCTGGGCGGCTCTTTGGATCTTGGTGTCTTGAGAGGCGTCTTCCCAAACCAGATAGAGGAGGCTGTGCATCAATGGTCCGTCGGTGGGAGAGAGGCCGAGCGCGTTGCCGCCTTTCTTGCTCATTTGTTGCATGGCGGGCACAGTGAAGGCTTGGAATGTCAGCGAGCCCTTGTTGGGTATAGCGGTGAAGTCCTTTCGATGGCGTTCTTGGAGCCAGTTCATGAGTCCGCGATCCAGTTTGAAGGTAGAAGCCCAGAATGCATAGCGGTGACCGTTGGGCATTTGGTCGGTTATCAGGGAGGTGTCATTTGCCAAGGTTCTGTTTGTGGTGTCGGTAGCTATCGAAGTGACATTGAGGTACTTTTTGAGGATAGCTGGTGGATTGAGCTCGTTTACAGGCTCAAGGTACTCTAGTTGGATTTGTGCGCCCACTTGACCAGCTGTCAGAGCAAATGAAAGAATCTGGGAAGATTTAGGGTCTTTGTTGGCGTCTTCTGCCATCGATGCAAAGGCGTCGATAAGAAGCGGGTAAGTATCTTCCATATGAACTCGGGTTCCGCCCCACATCAAGCCCTGTGGAATTGTCTCCATCTCAAATCGGGTGACAATACCGAAATTGTTCCCACCTCCACGAAGTGCCCAGTAAAGATCTGGGTGGATGGTCGGGGTGACGGTGATGATAGCGCCTGTCGCCGTGACTACTTCAAAGGAAGCAACGTTGTCGCAAGCATATCCATAGATACTGGATTGGTGACTGATACCCCCGCCGAGAACAAGACCAAGGCCTACCTCTGATGCGCGGCCACCCATGACAGCAAGGCTGTGTTGACCAAGCTTTTCATATACCGCACCCCATAGATTTCCTGGCCCTATGAATGCGGTTTTTTGATCGCTAGAGAGTGTGATTTCGTTCATATCCGCCATGTTTACTGTGATACCATCTTGAATGCTAGACGCGCCAGGGAAGGCAGTATGTCCACCGCCCTTCACGGCAAAGGGACATTGAGTAAGACGAGACATGAGTACCAAGATTGATACATCTTGCGCGGTCGAAGGTTTCAATACACAAGCTGGGTCTACCAAAGATGCTTGTGTAGACCAGTATCCACTGGTGAATTTATTGTACGCGGGTGATCCGCTCGTGAGAAGCTTGTTTCCAAAGATAGTTTTGAGGGCACCGCACTTTGTTGAGAATCAGAAAACGCTCTTGATAAATAGTAGTATGACTTACAGCTGTCATGCATCCAGTTGAGACAGCACGTTTTTCACTCAGCCCAGCCAGGCTGGGAATGGCAGAGACATTGACGCCTTTGGCAGCCAGGGCCTCTACAACGTTGAAGTCTGAGGACTCAAAAACGTCTTGTGCAGAAGCAATAGCAGAAAAAGCCGCAAGCGAGGCAACAAAAGAGGACTTCATACCGTGCGGCACTGTGTCTTACGATCGGGTTGGTAAAGAGAGTGTGTTTAAAACAGAAGAGGTACCTCAAGTGACAGTTATGACACTCAACAACCACTTATAAGAGATGGTGAGTGCCTCGGAGTGTAGCTGCGTTAAGAAACCGACATTTCACTCTGCATTTATTGCCTGTAAATCAGGCGAGGGATCGCGTCTAGCTGCAGGGTACAATTCAACTGACCACCGGCTACATGTGCAAGGGCTAGATAGTGTACAGTGTAACAAGGGTATGTTTTCCCAACCAAGGATGATACTAACCCGGAGTGGCGACTCATTAGCAATAGCTGTATTGAATACCTATCTCTCTTTAGGAATTCATCATTCTTGTTACTACGTATGAGTAAAAGACATATATCATGAGTTGATGAGATGGTTTCAAATCTCACCGCAACATCATCCTTGGTTTGGAAAACATACCCTAGTTACCGTGTACACACATAATCAAAGAGTTACAGCGACTGTTCTCAATCCGCCACTCATGGGCAGACGAGAGTTCTTTGCTTGCTGCCGTGTCACATACTGTGCCGCCTTGGCTGCAAGGTGTAGTGGCATGATAGGAAGCCGACGGGTGCATTGGGATTTCAGAATTAAGCTCAGTAGGATCTAGATGCAGGGATGTGCAGTCTTTACTCTCGGATTGCGTGTTGACTTGAGTCGAGAGTCCACTTTTGCATCTGATGGGGCCCTTGATGGGAAGGGACGGCAGCGACGTACTGCAGAGTGGTGATTAGCGGCCCACCATTACTATGCCAAATACTAGCTGGTTCGCAGAATATTGGGGATCATCGACTACGTACTTACGCCTCGTAATTCCCGATCTGTCCAAGACCTACGCCGCCAGAAGAGGGCACTCTATGTCCTGCATAAATCTTAACCAATATCATAGTCGGCAGAGCTTTCCAGCCAATATCGAGAGAAAAGGGTTGGCCGTTGGGCGCACGCGAAGCGGACGCTAAATCTGTGCCGCCAACATGCATGTGCATGTGCCGCTTGGACCCAGACGCCTCATCTTTTCAAGATTCTCCGCGAAGGGATTGCTCTATTTGAGCCCCAAGCCCGCCCCATCCTCGTACGGGAAGTTCGTATCTCCAAGATGCGGCAAATTCTCCCTTGATGAAGATGGTAGTACCGAGGAGCAACAGCAATCAGCATAACGAGTTTTTCGAGAAGTGATCTACCAACGGAAACCACAATAGTTTTTTCCGCAATCTCGTGCACAATCATCAATGCTCAATAGGAGCTATCAGATAGCCTCTAATTTCTACAGATCTTCGAAGCAAAATATCCTTCCAGCATGCCATTGAAGTATACCCGATATTCCGTGTAGGATCTCCAACTGGCCTCAAATCACCCGTTTCACAAGGGCAACTCCGGGGTACCGAACATCGATCCTCCCTGCAAATCTTCTTAACATGACGATATCCGATGTTGGGGGGCCCGCATTCATACGCTCGGCACAGCAAATTGAGTGCCCATCCCCTTCGCAACATCGACCTACTAGGTGTCGATAATTGTGACGATTTACGTCTACGCCGCAAAGGCAAGCGATAGTACGCACCCCATTACCTGGATAAGCCGAACATGTGGGACAGTACAACTACCGCCAGCTTTTTGTCTGGCTATTATGCTGCTTTCCTCTCCCATCCCCTCCTTTCCCCCCGTTTCTGAGCTTTTTGTTGTTGTAATCTTCTCGTTTTCAGTCAATCCAGCCAAAAACATGTCGACGCTCACCAACGGTTTCGCTCAGGGCACAGTGCTCAAAGTTGCATACTCGATGCTCGGTCTCACAAGCTCCGTTGTCCTCGCAAGAATAGGTCTCAACATTGCTAAGCCAAAACGACTGACGGCATCCGACTACTTTGTCTTTGCCGCCTTCGCTTTCTACGTTACAAAGTGCGCGCTGTATATTGCTGTGTCGCCGTATATGCAGAGAGTGTATGCTGTTGTGAATGGAGAGATTGCGCCGTACCCGGGGCTGGCGCACGATGCCGTTGTCATGACAAAGATGGTGTTTGCTGCTTTCAACTTATTTTGGGGGGTGTTGTGGGCGATCAAGTGCTCGCTATTGCTACTTTATCGGAGATTGTTGGTCGGGTTATCCAGGTGTTATACTGTTGTGTGGTGGGGCATCGTTGGGATTTGTATACTTGTAAGTAATTACCAGAACGTTGTGTTAGATGTCAACTCACTTTGGTTGTAGACCTTCTTTGGAAACTACCACTTTTACTTCAAATCGTGTGGTACACCGTCTGGTTTTTGGATGGGAGGCTGTGTGAGTCTATCCGCTGTTGATTTTGAAAATGACGACTGATGCTTTCATGCTACAGGGTGGGAAAGCTCGGCATAATGCCCAACTCTTCAGTTTGTATTTTTCCTTTGTTGCAGATACATCTACGAATTTGATGAGTACGTATTTCTACGATACCTGAACGTAGCATGAATTGCTAACTCGCGACTGTCACAGTCATGGCTCTTCCAATATGGCTCACGTGGAGCCTTCAGATGCCGCGTAGGAAAAAGATATCAATGCTATGTCTGTTCGCAACAGGTTTCGTCTGTATACTATTCGCCTGTCTCCGTGTCACTCAGGTAGCTGTGAACGCATCCAAGCCCGAAGCAGTGGGCGCACCACTTGACCCCACATGGCTTGCTATCTGGGGCATGGTGGAATGTTCAATCGGTAAGTTGAGTTCCTATTGATATGCATTCCAACGCTCAATGTCACCACAGCCGTCATGATTGGGTGTTGTCCCGCATTCGCAGTCTTAATAAATTCAGCCCGTACCAAGATCTCTTATGACTCCCATGGCTATCGCAGACAAGCAGATAGCGATACAAACAAAAACCACGGTAGCGGGATAGAATTAGGAACCATTGGAAGTAGAGCGACACGCGATATAACGAAGGGGGTCGGGCTGAACACTGTAGACTTACACTGGCTATGTGCCCAAAACAGTCAGGAGGAGTTGAGAGTCAAGCACGGTAGTAGTATCATGGTTTCAACCACCGTTACGCAAGACTCTGTGGATAAGTCCGAGATATGTTGAAGTAAGAATACATACCCGATCTTCCATAACGAGAACGAACAAAGCGAGAAATCGCATCTGTCTATTCGATTTCATCTTGGCTTTCCCTCCTTCATAGCGAGGCAATGAATCATCTTCGATTTGTGTTGTCGAAGAAAGCACAGGGAAGAAGTTGTCGTAGTAATGTGTGCCTGACCTGAGCAGAATGTCCACCTAAATGAAACGTCAAGATTGAGAGCGAACATAGCTCAGCGCATACCCCGCATACCCCGCATATTGAACTGTATTATGGGTTGGGAAAAACCTAATCACACGTCAAGTGTAATTTTGCAGCGGAAAGCAAGCCGCTGACGGAGGACCAGGGATGGCAGTCCGGTCAACCCGGCATGATTGTAGTGTACTTAAGTATGTCATACCCAATCATTAAGTCTTAGAATCATACATTCGACGAATTTGGAGCAGCACGTGAATTTTTAAGCGAAACACTATACTGTGTTTGCAACATGGATGTTTCGTAGGGTAAGTCGACACGATGGAGACATGGTTTGCAGTCTGGGTGTCACGTAAGGGAATAGAAAATGGTTGAGAAAAAAAAGCATGCATGGCTATGTCTCACAGTAACAACATCGCAACCTTCATGTAACGATGATGAAATGGCGATGGACTGTTTGGATATTCGATTCGCGATTTCGCAAAAAACACCCGACGTTGTGTTGTTCTTGATCAGCGTCAATATCCTGATTTTAAAACAAGTTATGTCGTTCGCACAACAACTGTAGAATTGCATGATAAGGCGGTAATGTTTGCCTCTACTGCGATGTACCACCGTACAGTAATACTGCACATTAGCATGCATGTAGTTTAAGTGAGCAAGAGAAACGGGAGCATGCCTCTCACCGTGCATCATGTCCTTACACTGCAGTCGCTGCTTTAGCCGTGGGCATAGATACTACCAGACTCACTGTATCTGAGGGCAGAATTTGGCGGTGTGATAGCGGCGACAAGGGACTTCGTACTTCTTAGCAGTGTAAGCAAGACCCATGGTAACTTTATTTGGCTCTATGTGAATACGAACGAGCGATATGATAATTTCCATGGCCGAGATTAGAGCGACAAAGAGAAAAGGAAAAAAGGAGGTGAGTTATTGCTGATAAGGGCAGCGCCCACTGTGTTTCTCGAGTCGTTACTGTTATTGTTTTGCGTGACGGTCCGGAGCAGTTGTCTAGCATTGAACAGGCTGCGAGGCAGGCAAAGGCCAATCAGCATCCTAGTCCTAGCTGGCGCGGCTTCGGGAGGGATGCCCATGCCTGACTTGGTGGCTCCGCCAGTCGCGTTGCTGGCCGCAAACGATACTTATTCCCCGCCGTTAAACCCTATAGTAGAAAAACTCGAGAACCACTAAGTAGTGGATTGCGCCGGTACCAGAACGAGACTGTCATAGGTTTTAACTGTGGCGTATTTTGAGTGTTCGAGTCAAGCTGCTGGACTAGGGCTGAAAATCCCAGTCATTGGGCTAAAAGCTTGTCTCGCAGAGGAAAAGCATGGCACTGAAAATAGGCTCGGCCTTTTATTTGTGGCGATATTCCCGAGGGCCGGGTGGCGGATGCTTGCACCAGATTTCGGAGGGGGACGTTTTAAAGGGACTGCCATGAATCAGACACAACGGTATTTGGCTGCAAAGCCGCATGGAGCCAATACAACCTTACTACTCCACCGCCCTTGCCGGCAAATATTGAGGGGTTGCGTGTGCGTGAAAGGCTCCCCATCTTTGGAAGGGTGCAGATGGGCGACAGACTTGAATGAGCCAAGTTGTATGCTGGGGGCAGGCCTGGCAGAGTGCCATCTACGTAAGATGAGTACGGCTTGGCAATAGTACTGGTGATTGGCTCGGGCGATAGCGTCGGAAGCCACGGGACCCAAAACGGCATCGATACGGGGCGGTTCATCGTTCTCGCATGTTTCGGCACTCTGTAATCTCTCTTCTCGCCTGCCACCACTTGGGCCCAGGGGCTTCAACGACACCAAGGCTGCACAGTATACGCTGCCTGAATGCGGGTCACTGTCTATGCCATCGTGCTGTTCAGTTCTTGGCTGCCCAAACCGACATGGCGTGCAGCCTGATTTGTTTTGCCAAGCGGATCTCTTAACCTCTGACAAGCTCTGCCCCAAGCCCCGTAGCGGCCGCTTGGATAGCCTCGGCGACTGTTGCCAATGTGCCCACAAGAGGTCGATGCTTTGATGGCGTTGTAGGGGGCCGCACCACAAGTTGTGGAAGGGGAAGACGTCACCTTTTCCCCTGCGTTTGACCTGGTACAACGGCCTATAATGGACTAAGGCAATCATGCCGCCCCTGGAACTCGCGAAACACCATTACTGCCCTCTGTGAAAGACGCGCGGAGGGACAACGTCAGCCAAGTCCTGGACATGAAGGCGGCCAGTGGAGAACATCCAGGTGTGAATCACTCATCGTTTCGAGGCCGTGGCGGTGATTAAACTCCCAAGCGGCAGAAAAGTGCAAGATGAGCTCTATTGGTAATATCATTCAGGTTAGACTGTGTTTCAAGCCAAACAGGTCAATACACTACAGTCTATTTTTTACTCGCCATTGTGATAGCATTCTCGTTCCTGCATGGCCATCCAGCCCGTTTGACCCGCAACCCATGGAACTTCCTCCCGGTGCGAAGCCGGTAGCGCGGATTTCATGTCTGCAAACCAGGGGTCGGTAGTACGGACATGCACTTTTTCCGCCCTCACATGCATCTAGACAAGTACTATTAGGTGGAGACGCTAGTCTCGACGCGAGTCGATATTGGCATTGGCACCACGCATCGGTCGAAGTTGTCGATCATCTGCCATTCATAAACTAACGGTGTCTGCACCTCGAAATGTTTACTTGCGGATACCTTCTACCGGATACCTAATTCTTACCACGCTTGTGGCCCACCTTCGTTTCTCGTCTCCAGGTCTCTCAGTGTGTTGTTGTTGTCGACCACCACGTTCCGCTCGCTCCCGCCCTTTTACAATTCAAATTTGACTATTACCTTTAATTCCATAATCAGGACCAGTCATATTCCTCCAATATGCGCTACTCTGCTGCTCTTGCTGCCGCTGTAGCCGTTGCCCCCATCGTTAGTGGCCATGGAACCGGCCTCCCTAACATTGTCGGATTAGATCCAAAGGACACCAAGGCTCGCGACTTGCTTTCAGGTATCGGAGCACGATTTACTGGCGTCAACGAGATTGCCAGTGCCAAGAACAAGGTCAAGACACAAATTGTCCGCCGCCAGGACGACCGCCAATGTGGAGATGGCATTGGCAACTGCTCTGCTGGCCAGTGCTGCTCAGCCGCCGGTTGTACGTTTTGTTCAAGTTACATATCAAGACTTTTCATTGATGAATTCCAGACTGCGGAACTGACAGCGACTACTGCTACTCTCCGGGCTGTGATTACAAGCATGGCCCAGCTTGCCCCGAGAACGTGACACCAGCAGGCACCAACACCACCTCGATTGCTCGTACCCAGTTCGGAAGTGTCCAGTTTGGTGGCGACGGTATCTACAGCTGCACCGAACCAGGAACCGTTGCTCTCACATACGATGACGGCCCCCAGAAGGTTTACACTAGCCACATTCTTGATGTCATGGCTTCCTACAACGCCAAAGCTACCTTTTTCATTACTGGTAACAACATCGGAAAGGGTCAAATCGACATCACCCCTGAATTCGTCCAAGTTATCCAGCGTATGGACTCTGAAGGCCACCAGATCGCTTCGCACACCTGGACTCATTTGGATCTGAGCGCCATCTCCGCGCAGGATCGCCACGACCAGATGATTAAGAACGAGATGGCTCTGCGCAACATTGTCGGCAAAATCCCCACCTACATGCGTCCTCCTTACTCAAGCTGCACTGCTGAGTCTGGCTGCGAGCAAGCTATGGCTGACCTTGGCTACCACGTCACCTACTTCGACTTGGACACTGTACGCACACTTCATGATGGTCTTTGGAACAACAACTAACTTCTTCAGGATGACTACGAGCACGACGACCCTACTCTGATTCAGTACTCCAAGGACGTTTTCAACGGCAACGTTTCCTCGGGCCCAGCCGCCAGCAGCCAATGGCTCGAGATTGGCCACGACATCCACGAACAGACTGCCATGAACCTGACCCAGTACATGCTCTCCACTCTTACCCAGCTCGGCTACAAAGCCGTCACTGTTGGTGAATGCCTTGGCGACCCTGCCGAGAACTGGTACCGTAAGGCTGGTGGCGCTAGCACCGGTGGTTCCACATCTGGAACCACAAAGCCTACTTCTGCTGCCCCTACTCCCACCGGAACTAAGGTGGTGTCCACTGATGCTACCTGCGGTGGTACCAACGGATTGTAAGAAACTCCCGTATCTATACCCGCTTTACACATTTCTAACTTTTTCCCAGCACCTGCGCAGGATCCACCTTCGGCAATTGCTGCAGCTCTGCAGGTTGGTGCGGTAGCACCAACGACTACTGCGGTACTGGCTGCCAGACCAGCTTCGGTACCTGCGGTAACAGTGCCGGCTCAACCACCTTGAGCACTGCTGCTGCGCCCAAGCCCACCACCGCCGCTAAGGCTTCCACCGACGGAACTTGTGGTGGAACCTCTGGCTTCACTTGCATTGGCTCGACTTTTGGAAACTGCTGCTCGCAGTACGGATGGTGTGGAAGCACTGTTGATCACTGCGGCACCGGATGCAATGCTGCCTTTGGAACGTGCACTTAAGCTAGCAATTGTCAAATTCTTGATCATCATAGCAAGGAGGCTTTCTTTTAAAGCATCTTGGGGAAAAATTTGCCTCTTACGAGAAGATGTGAGAGCATATGTACAACTCTTTTTCTGTGTTCGCCTGAGAGTAATGTACAAGTTTCGTTCAACGATATCACGGGGTAAAAAAGCTAGTTTTTAACCACCATCTTTTTTCCCCGAACAAATGCCCTACTGCAGTTCCTGTGATACACGTTCTCAAGTATCTCGACTTTGCCTTGAGAATGAACATGCATTTCAGATGTTGCGGTGGCTGAATAGGGCTAGCACTTTTACCCAGCCACAAGAGTGACCCGCATCCATCTACATAACACTGCGGAAGAAGCACAGAATGCATTCACCCTTCTTTTTTCTTTCATCGAGATGCAAACTCCAACCACTATTCCTTTTCCCCCTCGATATGGAGCAACAAGCTTTTGCTCGGCCACTCTTAGTCACTTAGTCCAGTGAAACCGCTATATTCCTTCTTTCACCCGCGGCATTGACATACCGACAAAAAGAAAAGCATCTACTGGGCAATCTCGCTTAATAACACTTTTACTTCTCGCCTCGCGCAGTTCAAACCTTGTCAGCGGAAAAGAAAGGAAGAGCACGCTAGTGGTGCGTCATTACGCGTTCGCATGAAAGCAGCGAGGGGTTGAAGTTTGTTTTTGGCTCGCGATCTACCTTTTGCTTTTTTAGGCGGGGATTACGCGTCGATTTGGTGAGAGGTAGAGCTAGGTAACGAATGATGGGGTCGGTCTAATGCAGGGGGTTGGGCTGGAGGGTGTCGATGGGTAATGACGTACTGTGCGGTTAGGGCCACGATACGGATGGGCAAGTGCTAGGCGGAACCTCGCTCCTAAATCCCTTTGCTTGAAGTATCTTGGGTTATCTCGGGACGAGTAAAAGGTGCAGCTGAGTTGAGTACGAGAAGTAAGCATAGGAAGGAGGTTGTTGATGATGATGATAACGCCAGCAGTGATTTTCACTCCAAAGGGAGTTTTGAAAGATATAACTGCTTCCTTGTGTAAGCAGACATCGTTGATTTGAATCAGAAACTCTAGTTTGATAGTGTATTTCTCCTCTTTCTACATCCTTGGGCGTACCTCATTCCGCCATTCTGCCATTAGGTAGGTCTCTGCTGGTCGGATTGCATATACTCAAGGAATTTAACATCATCCATAACATTGAATTCTAAGAGAGATTATTTAACACGCCAATATCTTATTATAAAATAGCTTGCTTGAGCTTCCACAGGCATGCCACCTGACTGTCATCAACTCTCAAGGACTATCCTTAATCATCAATGTATTACCGCTGGCACGGATGTACGAATTGATTCCGGCCAACATATACTTGTTAGAAAACGTCAGCAGTACAAATAGCGGCTGCAACCAAAGTGTTTTGGACTGTCGTGTAGGACTTAGAGTGCTCTCATATTGCTACTCTTCGTTCAAGAAGATCAACCGTTTTCGTACTGTATGGGCATGATAACCTGCAAAGAGTATCATTCGACAGTGAAATCGAGCCATTTGTTCTTAAGTTAGTCCTGGAAAGGCGTGTGGCCCAAACTCTGATATATTAGCAACTGACCTGAGCGTTAGCTACGAGCCATACCCAAGCCCCTGTACGGCTGTGTACTTGAAGCCCGTAACATCCGTATCCAATGCGAATGCAGAAGCAAAAGGAATAATTCGGTATTCGAGACGTAATGCCATCGGAGAGGTGAGTCGCGGTTGCTCATTCACGACAATTGTACGTGAAAAATGTGGGCCCGATGGCTGCTGCGCTGGCAAAAAAAGAAATATCAGATGCCTTCCGCCAGAATTGAACTGACGACCTCGTCATTACTAGTGACGCGCTCTACCACTGAGCTAGGAAGGCTTCGATGAAGAAATGAGTTTTAATTGCATATATATACCGCGGCATGTGCAATAAGCACTCCAGTAAACAAGGTAGCTCAGCGCGTAGGGAAGGTCCTCCCTCAGCGGGCCGCAACTCCAGCAGCAGTACCCACTTTACCTCGGGTGATAGACTTGAACTATACACTTTCGGAAGAATGGGAATATGGCATCGCAACTTGGAAAAGATGAAGACTGCTCATGGACGTGCAATGCGAAGCTGAAGTGGTTTCTTGTGGAAACGAATGCGTCATAGGTCGCGCCTTGATTCTGTCATGCTGGTTGGAACAAACAGGGAGCCTCCTGTTTGGAGCCGCTCCCCCCCCCCTTACGTTACGGCCACGCCGTCAAGCCGCTACAGCCACGGTGGCTGGCCAACTGACTGTGTTTGCAATCAAATCTCAACACGTCGCTTGCGGAGAAGGGCGCTGAAAGGAGGGCGCTATCTCTTTCTGGGGGTTGTTTCAATGCGCTGAGCTGAGATTCACCAACTGCCTCACGGCTGCGTCTCGGTTTCGTTGCGTCCTCGCCACGTCCATGGTCGCGTAGCCAAGTGTACCGACTTGTCCTGGTCAGGACACACGCGGTACAATAGACCTCGCACGAGGTGCAGCTCCACGCATATGTGGAGATGTGAATCCGGGGCCGGGTGACCATTCGGGTGTTAGGTCATTCACATGCCACCGCAATTAGCCCGCCAAGGCACCAAATTAAGAATCCGGGCAATTGAGCCTCTCCCGCTGATCGCTGACCTTTCCTCCAACACCTTTTTCAAACGCGATTTTCCCCTGCACCGCGACACACCACAACCATACAACACCTGCCAGGATCGCAAACCTGGCCTCGACTTTCACCATTCCCAGTAATCCAACACAACCATCTATGGGCTCTGCTTCTCCCGCCGCGACTGCCTCTCAACTTACTGCCCAGCTTACCGTAGTTGGCTCCTTCTTTCCATATAGCGCGCTGAGCTCGGGTCTAAATAAGACGGACGCTTCCTTCGCGTCCCTTGTCCGACAAGTAGGGGTGGGCGTTCCGCCGTGAACCTCTGCGGCGGGCATAGATTTTGGGCAGCCCAAGTCCGGAGTTGGATGTGCGCGATCTCCTACCCAACTGAGGAGACACACAAGGCTGACCGAAACGCGCAGAACCTAAGCGTACTCTAGAGCACAAATATCTCGACATTGTTTTACCCCTCATTACCGTCATCATGGTTTTCGCATTCGATCATGACGATGCGCAGCTCGCGGGCAAGGCCCCGAACACCTCCGAGCCTGCTGTGCCAAACGATGACATGTTTTCCCTGGAGGACATGGACATGAGTCCTTCAAGAGTACCCCTCCATGTTGGGACCCCGCCGATCAACATCGTCAGCCCTATGCCAAAGCGCAGCGCACAGCCCAACACTGAAGGCAAGCAGCTAGGACCAGACAAGTTGGACTTTGAGGCGGTTATGAAGAAGGCCCAGAAAAACAAGAGGAAGAAGAAGAAGGGGCCAAATGCAGGTCTGCAGGCTACCAACGTGACTCGTGGTTTTCACACGCCCGTCACATCGGGTGGAGAGGAGTCGGACTATTCCATTACCAGCACCCCGCGGTTCGGGCCCGTCCGCTCTGGACTCCCTAGCGTCACTAGCAGTCCCGCGCTGCGACCACAGTCTACCATGGGAGGCATCAGCAGTCTCAAGGCCCAATTGGAGGCCTTGAACTTGGCCTCCAGAAGCGATTCCCCCATGAAGGACTTTTCCAACAAGGGTGTTGCCATGAGCCGGGTCGCATCGCATATGTCTAGCAACACCAGTATGTCTGGTCGAGAGAGTGATAGCGACCGCACGGAGATGGAGAGCTACGAAATTGATCTGAACGCCGAGGACTTCAGCGCCGATACGCTTTCTAAGACATCGACTATGCTGAACAATGGGATGGCACGCAAGATGACTGCCGAGGACTTTGAACCTTTGATGTGTCTTGGAAAAGGTAGTTACGGTACCGTGCTGCTTGTCAGGCAGCGTGAAACTGGCCGTCTGTTTGCGCAGAAGCAGTTCAAGAAGGCATCAATCACCGTCCACAAGAAGCTTATTGAGCAGACCAAGACGGAGCGCAATGTCTTGGAGAGCGTGAACCGTTATCCGTTCATTGTAAACTTCTACTATGCATTCCAGGACCAGGAGAAGCTGTACTTGATTCTCGAGTATGCCCAAGGCGGCGAATTGTTCCATCACCTTGCCGCTGAGCGCATGTTCTCCGAGGATGTTGCAGCCTTCTACATGGCTGAAATGGTACTTGCCCTCGATCATCTGCACCGCACCGTTGGCGTCATCTACCGCGATCTGAAGCCCGAGAACTGTCTCTTGGACTCTGAAGGCCATCTTCTCCTCACCGACTTTGGTCTTAGCAAAGTCACTCTCGACGAAGACAATCCTTGTCGTTCTTTCCTCGGAACCGTAGAATATATGGCTCCAGAAGTCGTCCAAGGCCTCGAGTACGGCGCAGCAGTAGATTGGTGGTCCCTCGGCGCCCTCGGTTTCGACCTGCTTACTGGATCACCCCCTTTTACAGGCAACAACAACGCTAAGATCCAGGAAAAAATCGTAAAGCAGAAGCTCTCACTTCCCTACTACCTCAGCGCCGATGCCAAAGACCTCCTCACCCGCCTCCTGCGCAAAGACCCCAAGAAGCGCCTCGGCTTCAACATGTCCAAGGATCTCCAGACAATCAAGAAACATCGCTTCTTCCGCAAGATTGACTGGAAGAAGCTTGAAGCCAGGGAGCTGGAGCCGCCAATTCAGCCGCTGATTACGGACCCGGAGTTGGCAGAGAACTTTGCCCAGGACTTTACGGATTTGCCGCTTAGTCCCGTGTTGACCAAGAAGTTTGATGATTCACTGTTTGAGAGTCAGAACAACAATCCGTTTGGCGGGTTTAGCTTTGTGGCGAGTCAGAGTCTATTGGATAGTGGGGAGTGGGGATACTAGGGAAGAAGTGTTGAGCAGCTCTCTGTGGGGCGAGTATTTGCATTCATTGTCTAACAGTAACGTTTGATTCAAGTGACTTTTGTTAGTTTTTATCGTTTCAGGGGTGCGTAATAGATGTCGTTGTTCATTGAATCTCAACAAGCAAAGTGAATTCTGGGTAAACTATATTGTTTTATTGCTTCATAACTGCCCAGACCAGTTCATCCCAAACTCCGCGCTCGTATCTTCGGTATCATGCGCAAGCAATCATGAGTACTATAAACCATGTAGGTATCGTCAAGAAAGAAAGGAACCACGTGTGTCTTTCAAAGAAGTCGTCTATGAGGTGGGGGCAGGAGCAGTAACAGTCTCCTGGGGCTTCTCGCTACCCTCTGCGGTGGTGGTAGTGGCACCAGTCTCTCCAGTCTTCTGCTTCTTGAGGTTCGCCAAGTGCCTTGCCTCGTTGTGAACGTCCATGACAGTCTTGTTGCCCTGTTCATAGAAAGCACGGAGCTTCTGACCGGTAGGGGTTGAGGCAGCCTTATCGAAGTAGCTGGTCAAGGTGTTGAAGGCAGCATAGCCCTTGTTTGTGACACCGAGCTTCTGGTCCATGACCTGAGCCTTTTGTGTAGCCTGGGTCTTCTGATCGACGTTGTTGATGAAGTTCATGAACTTTGTGCTGTAGCCGTTCTGCTTGTCTGCGGCCAGAGCACGCTCAATGGCCTTGTCTGAGATGGCATAGCCGTGGGCAAGGTACTCGGCAACGATGCGTGCGCGGGGCTTCTGTTCCTGCTCGATGTGGTGGTCGCCATCCTTGGCCTCTTCGGCCGAGGCGGACTTTTCTCCGGCAAGCTCGTCGATGCTCTTAGCAGCAGTAACGTGCACAGAGTTGGGTCCAAGCTGAGTGTTGTCGAGGAGAAGGGCGGTCTTTGCGGCGGCGGCCTTCTCAAAGGTGACAGAGGCGGACTGGGCGTCGTCGCCAGTAGGCTTTACACTGATGGACTGAATCTTTCCGCAGAAGCTGAAGAAGCTCTTAATCTCCTCCTCGCTCGTCTTCATGGAAATGTTCTCGACGTTGACGGTGGCAGCCATGATGGTGGATGTGTATGGTAGTTTGAAAGGTGTTGGGTTGCAGTGGATTGTAAGTATGTAGGAACAAGTACGGTAGTGTAGAGTGTATGGCAGGAGACACGTATGGCCAGGGGTATTTGTAGCAGTGGTGAGGGGTGCGGAAACCAGCTCAGAGAGGGGCGCAGCCTGACGACGCAAGGGTGTAATGACGCAGGTGGGGCGGTGCTAGTGGCGTATAGACGGCATACTACGAGCACGAGCGCGAGCGCGAACATTCACGAAACGCCACCTTGTCTATACTGTCTTTCATGTGAAACTGCACTGCCACATGTGCAATTGTTTAGGGAGCAGATGTGTAGATTAAGTAAGTCATGGCTAGACTATTATGGAGCATGATCATCTCTTACGCTGTCGACGCTTGTATTCGCCCGGGTTTATTGACACCGAGTGGGCAAGCACAGAAGCACCGAGGTCAAAGTGCGGCATTTGAAGAAGTATGGTATTTGGTTATGCAAATGTACCCCAAGGATTATGCAGAAGTCTTAGACGTTACAAACTGCAAGCAAGAACATACACATGTGGGTTGATCAGGGATGGAATAATCCACCACAAAGCTTCATCACTCCACCAAACCCCGGCTTAAGCTAACGTCATAGCTCCGTAGTCCCATAGCACTTTGCGTGAGCACCACCCGTGAGCTCTAGGCTCTGAGGAACCTTTCTCTCCTACCCAATTGATACCAACAATGACTTCCAGACTAATTACCCAGTCTCCGCGGGCAGCGCAGTCATGCATCCGCCGCGCGCAAAATCTTGCGCCAACTGTATCGCGGCTCCCACAGCGTCGCTACATCTCTGCCTATGGCTACGAACAAGCAAAAGCCCTCACCTTCTCCGAATATGGAGAGCCACCTGCCGTGCTTTCTCTTCACAGCCATTCCATCTCGCCGCCTCATAGCAATCTCATGACCCTACGGTTTCTCGCGTCGCCCATAAACCCCGCCGATATCAACCAGATCCAAGGTGTCTACCCGTCGAAGCCCAGGTTCACAACCGACCTAAGTACCCCAAAGCCAATTGCCGTTGCTGGAAATGAGGGCGTAGCTGAAATCATTGCGCTGGGCGAAGGTGTGAAGAAAGAGGGATTCAAAAAGGGCGACTGGGTGTTCATGAAAGGGCCTGGCTTCGGAACATGGCGCACACATGCAAGCGCCACTACCAACGACGTAGTAAAGCTCGACGAGCAGATGCGCGAAGGAATCACAGCAATCCAGGCCGGCACTGTATCTATCAACCCATGCACGGCCTACCGGATGCTCCGCGACTTCACCACCCTCTCGGAAGGCGACTGGTTCATACAAAATGGGGCAAACTCTGGCGTTGGCCGCGCAGCCATCCAGCTAGGCAAGAAGTGGGGCTACAAGAGCATCAACGTGATTCGTAGTCGCGAAGACAAGAGCAAAGAGGATGCCATGAAGAAGGAGCTGCAAGATCTTGGCGCAGACGTTGTCATTACAGATGCAGAATTGCAATCGCAAAGCATCAAGGACCAGGCTAAAGAATGGACAAACGGGGGCCGCGCACCGATTCGTCTGGCGCTCAACTGTGTGAACGGTAAGGCGGCAACAGCAATGGCGAAGCTCCTGTCTTCATCCGCGCACTTTGTTACCTATGGCGCCATGTCCAAGCAGCCATTGACTATCCCTGCGTCGATGCTCATCTTCAAAGACATTCACTTCCACGGATTCTGGGTGAGCAGGTGGGCAGAGCAGCATCCAGAGGAGAAGCAAAAGACTGTTGCCGATGTGTTGGACATGACGCGAAAGGGCGAGTTCAAAGACATGCCTGTTGACGAGATCAAGTGGGAGTGGGAGACCAAGAGAGAGGAACTCATTGCCAAGGTCAAAGATACACTGGAAGGGTACAGGAGTGGCAAAGGAATTTTTGTCTTTGGCAAGACATAGACTTCGTAGTCTTTGTATGTAGAAATTAAGTCTGCTATATCCTACCTAGCTTTCTCTACTACTGTAGAAATACTCTCGTCCCATTGTTCGGCAGCGGTGCTCTGAATAGCACAAACGGTCTTTCCCTGCGATCTGTCCCTGGGTAAAACGACGAGCTAAACGCAAGCTGGTTATCCGTGAAATACAAATACCCATCGCTTCCAACAGACACTGCAATTTGACATTAGCATCCGAGAAGAAAGAAAGAAAGAGAGAGAGAAGAGAATAGAAGAGAAAAAAACTCACTAGTATCCACCCAGCTAATCCTCGGATCCCTCACAAACAGCGTAACCGACGCATTCTCAGGATTATAAAACCCAACCTCATTCTGCTCCATATTGCCCACATACACAAACCCATTCGTATCCGTCTCAAACCCATCACTCACGCCCCTCTCCCCCCTCCTCTGCACCGCCGCCTGCGCCCGTAGCTCCGCACTGCCGTCGCTCCTATCCCGCAAACGCTCTGTAGGAAGACTATACAGCGATCTGCCGCCCACAGGCCCGAAATACAAATCCTCGCCCGACGCGGACAAGGCGATGCCGTCGCTCCCAAGGGGCACGGTAGTAAGAGGCAGATCGGGGCCGGGAATGTAATACAAAGGTTGGCCCCAGACAAACGGGACAAATCCGCGCTCAGCGCGTACCTCTGCGATGGCGTCGAGACGGCGCCACGAGTCTCCGGAGCCGAGGTCGACGACGACGATGCCGTTGCGGCCTTCGCTTGAGGAATCGGTGATGTAGGCTATGCCTTTTCCGGTGGTACCGCTGAGGCTGGGGCGCAGGTCGAGCCGGATGTCGTTGAGGTACGAGGTTGGGTATGCGACGGTGGGCGGGAAGAGGATGGTTTGGAGCACGCTGTTGCTGGAGAGGTCGACGGCGATGAGTTTGGGGCCCCCGGGCGCGGCGGGGACGAGGGTGCCGTCCGCGGTGAGGGCGCGGCCAGTGTCGAGGATCCAGAGGCGGTCTTGGGCGTCGAGTACTACGCTTTGGACGCCGATGAGGTGGTTGGGGTAGTTTGCGCCGACGGGTGGGGAGACGGTGTAGTTGATTGCTCCGTTGGGTGGGTTGTTGATGTCTACGTTTGGATAGGGGATTTCAGTTCCATTGGCTAGGATTTCTGCTACGGCGTGCTTGTCGTTGCTGCCCGTGTTGGTGTTGTTGGGGTCCAGGCCAGAAGGGTAGTTTGAGAATTTACGCCCGGTTTTGGAGACAGTGATCCCTAGAGAGATGTCAAGTTGGAGATTGATTCGATGAGTGAGGTATCAAGCAAAAGTACCAGTTGGCCATTGGTCATTGTACAGGTGCACGATTTCGAGTGGTGGGCCTGCAATGCCAGGATCAGAGCGGATTCGCTGTGCGCTCGATAGCACAGGGAGCAAGGTGCTCAATGTCGCTACAATTGAACTCGCCAACATTTTGAGTCGAAGAGTCTGTACAGACACATGGTTGCATGGTGTCTGCCATCGTCAACTTATACACAACTCTACATCAACCACGCGTAAATTACGGAAATGACCTCAGATGGTACGACTAGGCAGTACAATAGTCTCCACGTCATGTACGTGTCAGGCACTTGCAAAAGAACAAGGGTAACGGTCGATCTAGCTCTGCATTTGAGGTTATATCCAAGAGTAGCTACCTAATTACGGTTTAGACTTCACAACGGTTCACCCCGCTTTTGTGATGCAATGTGACATTGGCGGTACGATGCGGACGGAGCTAGACCGGGGTATCTGTTCTTGGACTCACAGCAGGAATGCTCGTGTTTTTGATGTCGTAGGGATTTGTGTAATCTTACAATCGACAATGACAGTCCTTGTTTTGTTAATGGTCCTAAACGACATAGCAGATGGCACTGAAACTTTGATTGTAGCTGTTATTTCGTCCAGAACTTTATCCAACCCAACTCTTGACAACCTCTTTCAAAGAGGTGCTCTCATCTGTCCCAGCCCAGGTGTGTGATTGTTCTGAATCTTCGGATTCCTCTGGTGCATCTGCGGCAAACTTTGCGATCTTGAGCTCTCCATCATTAAATTCAATTCTGATATCCTTTGTCGATGCAACTCCTTTCTTCGCATCCTTGGTCCGAATCGAGAGCCGCGCATCTTGACTTCTGGTCTGCGCGCGTGAAGAATAGTCGTTCTTGAGTAATCGATGGGCAACGTGGAGCGAAAGGATCCAGTCCAGATACGACTTGAGTTCCTCGACAGTAGCAAACTTCTGCTGCTGGAACAATCCAAGATCGGAGCTTAGCGTGGACGGAAGACTTAATCTGTGTTCCGTGCCGAAAGTGGGTTGGCCGATGATGGTGCGTGTAATGATATTCAAAGTCTCCGACTGTGCGCCGTTTGAAGTAGGGAGGGTCAAAGTAGCAGTTCCACCAAACGGCTTCATGAAAATCTCAAAGAGCTGATCGGTAGCTGATATGCCTTTCTTGGATGATGCTTCTAAGCTTCCAACAAGAGCTGCCCAGGAATTCTCACGTGTTGTTTCCAAGGTCACGTCCAGGCCGGCGCTACGGAGAGTCTTCGCGACAGATCCAAGATAGGCGTGAAGCGAATCCACGCCCTCAATGTGGTAAAGGACAGCAAGTAGTGTACGGAGCAATGGTGGTGGTTGTTTTTCACGTGCTTTTCCTGTTAATGGAGGTGGGAGCTGTGATCTCCGATAGAGACGCATGCTGTGCTCATGAGCCAGCAAAAGACGGAGTGATTCGGCAATGTTCTTAGCCAGCCAGTCGTACTCGCGAGATTGGCTGCTCGGTATAGGATCGTCTCGGGGTACACAGTCGATGAGCAGCTTGCGGTTTTGCGACAGGCTTCCCATTTGAGGCGCATCGACATAGATGACAGAGTCCCGAAATTCGACTCCGTATGCTAACAACTGTCGCGTCTCCAAACTCATCTCATAATAGAGCTCTTCTTCGAACAAAGAATCCCGTGCCAACTGGATGGACTTTTCCAGAGACTGATTGGCGAGCTCGGCATCAATTGATATTTGAGATGTTCCAGTGATTTTTCCATCAATACTGATTCGAACGCGGAGTATCTTTGGCTTTAGTGCAAGAGCTGGATCTAGGATGATACTGCCGTCCTTGTCCATTTGCAGAGGGGCGAAACCACGGGCTTTAAAGTGATCACTTGCTAAATGCTCTGTCAGCTCTAGTACATGTCCGTTCAATGGGCGCAACTTACCTTCTGGAAGTCCATAGCGCACTGCAAAAGGCGCATGGCGCACGTTTTGACGGAGCCGCTGAATGGGCCAGCCTTTATCCGAGACGGAGACAATCTGGTGCCAGTACTTTGTTTCTCGTCGTATTTCCTTCTCCAGGTGTTTTGCTGCCTTTAGGATTTCATCTACTGACGAGTCGAGCGCGTCCATACGTGCGCCTTGTGCCACAACCTCTTGTCGAGCCTCGACATCCTGCAACCTCTGTTGCTCTTCGGGCTTGCGGATGCGGTGTTCGTGATTCTCCCGGCTCATGCCAAAAGACCCTAGAGGAATGCCCTGGTTCAGACCCTGTTCGCGAAAGGTTGGGCTGAAGAAGTTGAGGCTGCGCTTGTTTGGATCTTGCGACAGGACGAGGGAGACGAGGTCGAGCGCATTGGTAGCAGCAAACTTGGCCCACCTGTTTCTTGTCAGACGTCGCGTCGTCGGCGTGGATATGCGGGTGATACGTACTCCAAGTGGCTGTACATTTCCTGGCCTGCCTTGAACACCTTTTCTGCTTGCTCTTGGCGGGACGGCGCATCGGTTTCCTTTTCCTTATCCTCCTGCTTGGTTGCGTCGTCGGCATCGTCGGGCACGTGTTTTCCCGCGTCAATGTCTTGCTGCAGCGACTGTTCGGTGATGTTGCGCAAATGGCCCCGTTCGCTTGCGAGCTGCTCGATCTTGATCAATAGGTCGTCTTGAGTCAGCTCTTCCTTTTCGGTAGCTGGCCATGGGCGCAGCGTGACATTGTTTAGTGAATCCATGGCGACGGCAAGGCCAGCAGCGGCAGAGGGGATTGTAGAAGGTGAGTTGCAGTGGTTTGCTCCGGCGCGGTGGGCCCTTGCATAAAGGTCGGAGCTCTCAGTAGCGGCCGCTGGTAGATCCCCCGCTTATCGATTGTCGGCTTGCGTTGCACATGGAGCCACGGGTTCCTGGTGCTGCGTCCATTGCTTGGTGCGGAGAGGCGAGCGATGGCCGAACCAGTTATAGCGATCATACATCGAAGTACAGCCTCTTGTCGTAGTGCATGTAGTAGCAGCTTTGTGCGGGGATATCACGGGTCATCTGTGCATGGTCCCTTCCCTCTCCAGCCACTAGCGGCGGACTCCGATAAGCTTGGACATACAGCCCTCAACCACCGTGACAGCTCATACCTAATTGCTTCTTCTTCTTCTTCTCCCATCTTCTTCTCTTTTCCTCCCCTCTCACAGACTGAATTGCTACCAAAATGACGACAAGATATCGTGTAGAATGTAAGTGCTGCCGGTTTTTGCCGCTATGGCTACTTGTACAAGCAACCAGTATGCTGACATGATGCTCTCTGTCTTGCAGATGCCCTCAAGGTGTGTGTGTAACGTGATTAACTGGACATCCAGCTGTACACCGCTAATACGTCTGGAAGACTCATCGAAGAGATCAGCTTGTGAGTATCACTCAATTTTTATTCCTGCTTTGGCTAATCGTGGCATCAGATTGAATGGATCAAGGTAATACTTATTGTGCCTGTAAGATCACATTGACCAGTTTCTCACAAACGTGCAGGGTCTATTAGCTGTTCCGTTTGTGTTGCACTCGCATCCTACAGCCGTGTTTGAACCCAATGGCGAATCGGTCGAACAGCAGGCCAACATTGCCCAGCGGCGGTATGCCGAGATTATGCGTGATGTAGAGGAGATAATCAACGACCACAGTGAGTGATTGAAACATGAAGATTCTCTCAAGCATATAGACAGGCTGCTCTGTATTGACGCGGTACAGTTCAACACCAGAAAGACGGCAAGCCAGACCGGTCAAAGCTGAAGCTGCTGGTACCGTCAGTAGCAAACTTCTTCACACCACTGGCACTGCACGATGCATTCATATGGCAAGATCAGAGGCGTTTCATTAGTCATCGGCGTTTTGTGCCCCCTTCTTTCAATGACGTTCGTCTGGTTCTCAACACAGCCCAGGTCATGAGTCTCGTGCGCAATGGCCCACTAGAACTCGTGACTTTTGACGGAGATGTGACGCTTTATGACGATGGAAAGAATCTTGAGCCCGACAATCCCATTATCCCAAAGATACTGGGACTGATGCGGCGTGGATCCAAGATTGGCATTGTCACGGCTGCTGGATACACCGAGGCAAAACCATACTATGGAAGACTTCACGGCCTGCTCGATGCCATCCAGGCATCTGATCTGCCTCGAGAGGCTCGCCAGAACCTGCTCATCATGGGAGGCGAGAGTAACTTTTGTTTCAAGTTTGACGAAAACAGCCCGGTGCTGCTGCGGCTGGTGCCGCGAGCAGAATGGCTACTAGAAGAGATGCTGCTATGGCACGAGACGGACATCAAGGACCTCCTGGACCTGGCAGAGGCCTCGCTGAGGGACACGATTCGGAACTTCCGGATGGAGGCCAATGTGGTGCGCAAGGAGAGGGCGGTGGGCATTGTGCCCAAACCCGGATACAAGTTTTGCCGCGAAACGCTAGAAGAGACAGTGTTGATTATTCAAAAGATTCTGGTATGTGTGTTGGGGACGGGGGCAGCGGGCTGTGCTGACACTAGTAGGAAATTTCCGAGGTTGGCCAACGGTTGCCGTTTTGCGCGTTCAATGGTGAGTTGCAAGGCGCGACCCTGGGCAATATGGGGTGAAGATATATGTGTACTGACACGAAAGCAGGCGGAAACGACGTGTTTGTTGACATTGGGGACAAGTCATGGGGAGTGCTGGCGTGTCAGCGCATCTTTGGGGGGATTGCAGGCAGCAAGACACTGCATGTGGGCGACCAGTTTCTTAGTGCGGGAGCAAATGACTTCAAGGCGCGACTGGCGTGCACTACAGCATGGATTGCCAACCCGCTGGAAACGTGCCAGCTGCTGGATGAGATTGCGGAGCTGGACGAGATTCACCAGCGCAAGACGCGATGAAGGGGGGGGCATGAGCGAGAAGCGTGTGCATGTGTGTACTATGTATGTGCAGCCCAAAGTAGCATGTTGGAGGCACCGGAGATGGCATGGAAGGGGCGGCAGGGCGATTACATCAGCACGCCGGGAGCGGGCCAATCAGCGATAGCGCGGGGAGATGGACATGTCAACGGAAGGCAGTGCGTCGTGTCGTGTCGTGTAGTGCCGTGTAGTGCCGTATGCGTCTGGATGGCGGTGGTATGGATGTCGACGTCGCGATGCGTGGGTGGGTGTGGGCGAGGGCCGGGCGGAGTGGCT